TGCTTCTCGGGCAACGCGTCTCGCGTGTGTCGCAAGTCTGACTGGCCCGCGTGCGGCTTCAAATGGCTCGACGAGGGACCGCTCATCTTTGTCGCGAGTCTCTGGATCCTGCTTGCCGTCGGGATGCTGCAAAGCGACAAGTCGACGAGCAAGCATTTCGCGTTTGACCCGGTCAAGATCCACGACCCGCTTGCTCAAGGTACGCACCAATATCGTTGCCGTCTTCTGGTATCATGCATGAACGCTATATAGGCATTGCCGTGGCCATGTCCCAGCGGCTCTCGTCCTCGGCGCGACGACCTGTCTTTCAACGCAACATGAAGCTGGTCGGGATGGTGCTGGAGCTGCCGTCGCTGCTGCTTGCGCCGCTCTCGCTGGCGTTTAAAGCTGCGGGTATGCACAACGTGGTCGAGGAGTGGCTCGCGCACCTGCCCATGCACACCGAGGTACCGCCTCTTTTGTTGAAAGTTGAGACAATATGCGGGTCGATAGATCATCAATTTGGGAATCGCGGCGGCGTGCGGCGTATTGATTTTGTTTCTGCGGTTCCGAAGCGCCTCGTCCCATTTTTGTATCGCCAATACGTCTCTTGGTGACGTGAGCTGACGTTGGATCGTGTAGGCGAAGAGCTACTGCATGAATACGTCTACCCCATCACACTGGACGTGCTCTACATCCCGCTCATGTTTACGTTCCTGCGTCTCACGACATGTCCCGACGACGTGCGCTACCGCATCGCGCTGCCTGGCGGCATCACCTGCCAATGCATCGACTGGTTTGGTCTCTACTCGGTACGACCAGCTTCTCAGAGACCCAGAATTCAGATCTGATGAAACGTGGATCTACTCTAGTCAGTTGGCCTCGTGAGCTTTGTGCTCATGTATGCTGGCGCTCTTCGGTTCAAAATCTACATTGAGCCGCTGAGCACGTCCATGGATTTCGAGTTCCAGAGCGGGTACCAGATCATCATGGTCATGGCGCGCACGAGTTCGTTGCACTCAGATATGATATCTGATCAGACGGCGTTTTTCTTATTCTAGTCGACCCCCTCGTCGCGATGCTCGTCAATAGCTTGGACCTCAAGACGCACGTCAGTCAAGCCGTTAGCATCCTCCTCGCGTACCTGGCAGTCATGTTGCTGCTTCTCGTCTACTCGTACAAAACACAGCCGGTACAACGCATCCAATTCTCCAAATTCACGGACAATATTGTCTTGTAGTGCATTGGCAGTGGACGCGTCCCCAACAACATCCGCGTGCTGTCCTTTTCGTGCGCGATATACGCGACGCTGTGCGGTCTCATGCACCTTGCGGTGGGCGGGCCGCACAACAACCTGTACTACGCGCTCGCAGCGCTGCCGGGCGTCGGTGGCCTCTCGTGGGTCATCAACAGTCGTCGAGCGCGGCACTTTCACATCCCCGACGTCTCCATCTTGACGTTGCTGCAGTCGCCGGAGCCCCAGGTCCGCGTTGTGGGAGCTATCGCAGCCTTTTACGTGGACGCCGCCAAGTTGCACCCGCTCGACCACGAAGGCATTTTGAACCGACTGCGCGAGCTCGCGGCTAGCGACA